ACTGAAACTTTTTATTTATTTATTTATTTTAACACATAGATATTGGTACAAGGAGGTACCAAATACATATGCATCACACAAATCTCATTTGATATGTGTGAGGGCTGTGATACATCCAGGGCGCCCAAACCGAAGCAGGTGGTTTTCTTAGGGGACCACACCCGGAACCTTTGACCTGAAGGTCTGATCCACAAGACAGTGGAGCATCATAAGGAAATGCAGTCCCATGAAAGCCAGTGACCAACGATTGGTTCATACACCATTTGTTCCTTCAGGATACTGGAGACCATGTGCACCATTGGTTTAGAATCAGGGTATTAAAACCACCCTAGGTGGACTCTCCACATCCACCAACTGAAAATCATGATAACAAAAGTAAGACATAAAGATCTAACTTCATTTGTCTTCTGTTGAAGCTTGCCTGTAGCTTAGCTGGTTTCATTATATATGATTAATTGTTTGTTATATCATTCAAAGGTATATTAATAGACGTCACCTTCAGTTATACCTGTGATAACAATTGTATAAGAAGGACAGGAAGTGAAAGTAGGTTTTTAACAGATTTTCTGAAAACATTCCTGTGAATCCATGTTTTAAAGGTAATAAAGTATTCGAAAATTTAATTGTTAGATAATTGATGGATACTGAATACTATGTGGACGCCTCTGAAGTACTCGAAATCATTCATATCAATCTGACTAATTAAAGTATGTTCAACATTTGTTTATAATTATGTGCCTCTGTGCGATTTTAGGCTATTTTGACAACTGGTGATAAGCCTTATAATAGAATAATGAATTAATTTCCATTCTGTAAATTGTATTATTTTCGTATTGTTTACATTTATCAAAGGATCAAGTTGTATGAAACAAATAATCAATTTGACAAAAGATTAGTAGATGAAAAGAGTGAAAGGTGGAGTGGAAAAAATATTTGCGAAACATTCGTAATGGTGAAAAAGTAAATGTACTGATGTTAATACACGATTGTACTATGTTACGTAGTCAACAGCGGAAATACTATTCGACTTAAATTACGTTCTGATCAATGATTGTCAGCAATGATTACTTGCAATGCCAAGTGGACTGAAATTCCATGTGAAATATAAACACATGTCGCCCAGTTTCATAATCTTAGACGTTGCTGAATAGCTTGAATAGTGTTGGTAGTAACGCTTCATACTGTGAAGTTGAGTGATCTGGGTTAAGATCCATCATCAGACATCAGTCTACTCAAAATGGCAAGTACATTTTATGGACGATTACCAGATAACTGGCAAAAAATCTAAGTTGACCAGGGTTCATAGCCGGTTATCTACAACCAGCTAACAAAATTGTTCATTTAATATTCCTATTCATTCAACTCAATCAGATTCATAAGGATATTAACGTTACAATAGTTAAAGAGTTGTCTTTTAATTTTCAAACAGTTACGCCGCAAGATATTAGAAACACAGTAAAAAAAATAAAACTTTCCATTTCAAGTTTTATACCTTACTTGTCCCAGTTATATATTCAATGAAATATCAAGATATAAGAATAAAAACGTAATATATTTGACAACGTCCCTGAGAGGAAAAATTAGGGTAGAATTGCCTGATTTTCCATTATTTTATTTAAACAATAAAACAGTAATTAAAACAATTACAAAAAAGAATAAACAATATACACATTGAAAGCCGGAAACTCCATCCTAGTTTATAGTAAAATTGAATAAAATGAATAAATATGGGGCCAAAATTGACAATCTATTTCTTAAATGGGGAAAAAAATAGTAATCATTCTCATTTCTGCATTATTGAACTCATAAAACGAAATGAGCATTGAACACATATAATAATGACCAATAGCTAAAACGCTCCCTCTCTCTCTCTCTTTCTTTGTGATTCCAAATAACGTACAGAGAAAAAATAAACCCATATAAAATGGAACAATAATCTAACAATACCAGGTCACTAGTGTATCGAAATTACGATAAAAATAGTGATGAAAATTTATGTGAATCGATTCTGTTTACTTGTGTCTTTCAACATTTTATGTACTTGTGTGACATTGATGATGAACAGTAAGCACAAAATTGTTGATCAAGACAAATAAGGAAATAACTAGCGAGTAGAAAAGAAAACATTTTTCGGGTCTATTTTATTCATTACAAATAAGAAAAATTACCAATCGGTGTGCTAGGGTAGGGAAAAAAAAACGATGGAATGAAATGTTGATTCTTCTAAAAAAACATTTTCTGATGCTAAGACATATAAACCTAACAGTAGTAATCATAAATTAACAGAATGGTACACACTGGTGCCGGTTTAATCTTAAACTGAAGAATTGTAATCATCAATGTCACCATCAGTTTAAATAGAATATTTATTTATCTTGAGTTACCTATTAGGATAGCAAATTAATCAAGAAGTTACATTTACAACTCTGACAGACAGTTTGATGATGAATGTGTACGTAGTTAAAGAAAACTTAAAATCAGGATATCATTTTTTCATTTATCTAACATTAAAATACAGCGTACGGCAACTGAATAGATGGGCACATTTTAAACTTAGTTAATATAAGTATAGGGGTTGTGGAGATGATTAAGTTTTTAATTAAGATTATGAACCGATTGATATAGGTAACATTGAACTGTTTATATTTTTAGCTGAATGTTGATCATTTTTAGTTGGGATATGTACATCATATGTGGATATAGTCATTATGATACAAGTTATTGTGTAAAATAAATGGAATGTTGCTAGAAGTAGAATTTAGGATGAATGTATCATACAATTTGCGATTAGGTAATGGGTTCGAGTTCTGAAGTGAACATCAACTCTAGAGTGTAATTACATCTAGCTCATAGGTAGGCTACTGATTTTGTCCGCTTTAAGCATATTTAACTGAGGACTGTCAATAAACCCAAAATCTATAATCATTAACTTCTAAGTAAATTTTCTAAAACAATTCAATATGTATCAGAAGAGGTTTTTCTGCAGATTTTAGTGATTTCAATAGTTGAAATCATGAGTCGATTAAAGCTAGACCACCATTGAAAACACGGGAGTATAGGATGACTGAAGAGTCTTGTACTAGGACGAAACGGCCGTTCAGTGCTTCCAGGTTTCCAATATGGTCTAGCTTTAATAGACTAATGAATTCAACCATTAAATTTCTACAATCTCCATAAAACCCCTTTCTGATAATTTAATATGTAACAATAAATGTCAGGGATTGTTGAAGAAGATCAAATTGGTATAATATTCTTTTTAACTCATCAATATCCTAACAAAAAATACTATTGATCTAGAACAGTTTAGAATTATTAAAACTAATGGTTGGACTTCATTTTAGAGAGTGATCTTAATTGATCTGTTATCTATTTAATAATCTACGAATAAAAGATGAAACAACCGTAATGAAATGAAAGGAGTTGTATGATCTCTCTAGTCGGATTATCGATTAGTTGACCTATATTGCAAACATGACTGGTGATCTTCTATTTACCAACTGACACATCAACCAATGAACAACTAACAAGACATTAACATAAAAGTTAATACCGACCTAAACTTACATAAGTGCATTAAAGTCGTGAGATATGCATGAGGAGGACTAGAGTATACTATTAAACTTAGACATATGGCAAGATCGGACAACTTGGGTATGAACTACACGACAATTGGGAAGGCTAATAATAGTGTCCAAACCGTAGTAGATGGAGCGGGGTTTAGACCATTGGTTTATTGACCAGAAGTCTAATGCCTTAATCACTAGGCTACTGCTCCAGACAACACTGGCTCACAGATCCTCCATGTCACTATCCCTTAGCTTTACATCAACACTGCTGACAAAATGAATCTAATTTGTGCAGATACATACAAGTGAAAATTTTCGGTAATCAAAGTTCAACGGTCATATTGTGCAACTGTAAAGTTACAGTAAACACGGCCATTTATTAAAACTTTTTGAGTACAATAATTGCTACACATTGATATTTGTTTCGTATCGAAGATTTCCAGTCTACGAGTTTTCCTTTAGATTTATTCACTAAAACATCAAGCAAAAAGTAGGTTAGTTCAGAAAGCAACGACCCTAACACATGTAAAACATGTTTCCAACTTCATTTATCGGAAAACCATAACTAATAAGTGTAAGCGAAAAAAAATAATTAAATAAGAGTTGAGAAAGCAACTGAAATGTAGTTCAAATGATACATAAAAGCAAAAACAAAACACTGAAGAGAAATGAACATTGAGTATATATATAAATCACGAAAATTCTGATAGAGTATACGTCTATGCATAGGGTATTTTAATAGTGTGATATGACGTGTTAAACAGTTTGTTTATTAAAGTAATTAATGATAGAAATAGTGAAATAAAAAGACATATAACGTATAATAAAGTAGATAGACAGTAATGCATAGATATGAAACTCAAATCAAACTATTACCAAGATGGATTCCAGGAATTTCAGAAGAGAACAAGGATAAGAGTTAAATAATAACATTGAATCACAATAGCACCATATATCACATATTGATTAGATTGTCGTTTACAGATATTATAGCCTTTTTAAGGAAATGGATTTGATTTCATTTTAAGTCGTAAATGCGTTCAACTGAGTCGCTAACTAAAACAAAACAACTGTTCAGTCTACTGTCGATTTCAGTAGTTTATTAGTTAATATTAGTTTATGTAGAAAATTATTTAGAAATTGCCGATAATCTCTATGAATGGAACATTCCATTATAAATACAGCACATGATACAATTTTGCTATATTAGCATAATAAAGATTGGCAATTTAAATGACAGAAGGAACTAGGGAATAACTAATTATCTCATGAATGACTGAAATTAGGGTTTCATTATTCATCTCAACAATGAATATATATAAAAAAGTATATAATACACAAATATAATGGAATTTCATGCTTGAAAATGTTACGTTTGAGAGAATTCTCTTATAAAACACAAATAATCTGTCATTTTATAATATTTTAACTTACCGAAAAACTTTTCTATCTACTTCACTCATAACATTTTCAACTGGATCTGTACATAAATCTAAACTGCATAAAGGTTTTCGTCTACTACTGATGAGATTGCTAGCTTCAATAAATAAGTCAAGGGGATTTGTAGTACCTATACTTGTTGTCATAGCAGTTGATGTGTATGTTGTTGGAGGATCATTGTTAGACGATCGTATTCTATTCATAGTGATTAATTCCAATCTAATATAGAAAAAAAGAATGGATAAATAAATATATATATAAGGAGAATTTCACTGTTTAAAAATACGTGTATATTCGTGCTGGTTTGTATCATCCTGTTGTTAATGTTAAGAGCTATAATTGATATATAAATTCCAACTGGTGTTTCTAAATATTGCCATTTAGTCACAAGTTTTAGTCAAGGTTGGACAGTGACTAGCCGTGTAATCTAAGATGCACATTGTATGTACTTGCGTCCCACTGTTGATGATAATACTGAGGCTTGAATGCAGTAACATTTGCAACAATTGCTGACGAGCGATTTGCTGAATTACTGAGTTAAGATAGCCAATAGTCCGAACAACGAAAAACGCACAGAGTAATTAAAGAGAAAAGTGCTGTGCTAGAGTCTCAGTATGGACATCAACACCAGATTAAGTTGATAAGCTTCGAATAGGATGAAACTCGTATCATAGATTTCACTGCTAGCCACCATCCGAATTTAATTGACGCATATATATGTGAAAACATAATAGAATATTACTGCATAGATTCTAGTCAAGATTTTTCGAGAATGCACATTACTACTATTTTCTAGTTAACCTTTCCTAACACATTTCTATTATTCTGCACGATTAGTCAGATCTTCATGTTCCTAGTTCCACCCACTGGATAAGCTAACTCTATTCTACAAGCTAGCTTAACAAAAGGATGTGTGCAGTTTGGAAACAAACCTACTAACAACAAATGATTCATTTAGATCAATACAAGTGCATAACTAAGCACGAATTTGTATAATCTGGTTCGAGCCAAATCATCAGTAGTATTCTGTTTGTGTAGGCTTATGATAAAAGTCGTTTGTTTGTAATGAAGTAGGTAACAAGATTTGAACATGTGATCCAACAGTTAAAGGTAGGATGCATTATTCACCAGTCAATTGTTTCATACAAATAAACAGAAACTAATATCAAGTCATAATTGGCATAAGCTCGACCAAACCAATGATTTATTTACAACACAAACGATTACAGATGTTTTCAAATTTTTCAGAACAAATTTTCGTTGTTATTAGCTATCATGCTTTTTTACTCTTAAAGATATATCTGCATTTAATCGGATCGAACGGTGGGCGCTTTTTGGTTCAACCATTTAACTTTCAAAGAAAAAAACAACACTGAATGGAAGATTCAGTTACCAACGTAAAATACTAAAAGCCAGCTACGTACGTAAACCTATTTGTACATGGTTAACTGAGAGTTACATAAACCTTATCTTTAAAACAAAATAGGAAAGATAACGATAGAATATTTTTGAGATGAAGAAGATTAGTAGCTAAGAATGATAATTTTGTTAAAGTTATTAACTCTAATTTGACTGATGTTTAATTGTGAAGCTAGCTTTATCTTTCTAGACAACATTGTCAGAACATAGTTTAGATATAGAAGATTTTGACAATTATAATCGATGTGCAAATAACCACAGGATAAATATTAACAACAACAAATTCCAGTCAACTCTCAGGTGATAATGATGATGATGATCAGTGGTACAGAAAAAAAAAACACAACAAATCCTAACTGTGCACTTTTATCTGAAAATTGTATTACTGATAAACGTTGCTATCTTCTTAAAAAAGTTTCACCAATAAACATCCGTTAACACTGTGAATGTAACTTCAAAAAAACAAACTAATGTAAACAATGATTGTAACATATACATTAATTAACACATCAACTATAACTAATAATGTACACCATTAAGATACGATTATACTTTTTTGATTAAAGGGGTTTCAGTCAGTCAGTAACAACGTAGAACTTCGTACGTACGTACATCAGTTCGAGTTGCCATACCACATTAGCACAGAGATGCAGTGGTCGATTCAAATCCCGTAGTGATAGAGGTAATAAGAGTATAAGCAGCAATCGGGAAAATTAGGGTTTGGAGATGTTATTTAAAGAGTATAATACAGTGAAATAAATTTGGGAAGAGAAAAAAGAGACAAGGAGGAATAAGGAAATCAAAATTTGGGAGAACACAAAGAGTGTATGCACCTGCGCCATTGCAAACGATTTTGAGCCATGTCATTCAGGGTCTCTAACCATCGGTTGCTATCATCTCGCGGTCCCCAACCAGGTAGTCTACACCTACCAACATGACTCAGTCCACTTGTCAGTGACTTCATGGATTTGTGCCATGTTTTGGTTTGGCCGCCCCTAGCTTTCTTCCAACCTACTCCTATACCACTGAACATAGCACGTCGAGGTAGTCGGTCGTTGGGCATACGTAACACGTGTCCCAGCCATCTCAACTGATGAAGTTTCACTACGTCATCAATTGATTTGCCATCCTTACCTAGTACCCGTTTCCTAACAATTGCATTACATACTCGATGGTCCCAGGATATACGAGCAATATTTCGAAGACACCTATGATCAAATACTAGTAACCTACGAATATCCTCTACTCTTACCGGCCAGATTAAGGGGGTTTATAATGGAAAATTCCGATTGAGCAAAATGAAACAGAGAAAAGCGACTATTGAATTTAAAAAACTTGTGAAATTCATTTTTGTTGTTGTTGTTAAGATGGATGACAATGATCAAACAAAAATTACTCATAATGAAAAAAGAAAAACTACTGATGAAAAGTTAAACAGAGTAGTATATTGTGTATGGTGGTTGAAATAGTAGAGATAAGGAATAGAGAAAATGAATTAAATAAAAACAAGAAAATATGAAAAGATGGAACAATAACAAGTGTTAACTCATTTGCCAATGTCTCAAGTGTGTACTCTCTCTCTCTCTCTCTCTCTCGCATACCCACTATATTAGAGAATGTTTTATATAAGGGGAGAAACAATATTAATAAAAGGGAGGAATAGTAATGCATGAAACAAAAACACACGAAACATAATAGAATTTGAGCATTTTGTTTTCTCACCATAACAAATACTGCTCATACTGCTTTAATCTTTAGCATTATTATTTGCAGACAATTAAATTAATGAATTGGTTGTCTCTTCGACGATACTCATCAAGTCAGTGTACATGCACATACACACACACACACATAAACATAGAATGGTTATTAAAGAAAGTAGTAAACATTAAACATTTTATCTTTGGTGATAAATAAACTGTTTCTATGAACTATAGATTATAACAAAAGAAAAACTATTTAAAAAGCATAATAATCTATGACGGTGAGATAAAATCATCAAGACAAATGTCAGATTAATAGAAGTATTAACAATACTAGTGGTAGCAGAAAAGACTAGACTTAGGAAGTTTCGAGAAAGAAATATCAACTAACGAAACAGAAAGCTTAAGGTAAATTTAAAACTCAACATTTAAAGGATAGGCTAAAAATGAGTGCATATTAGCCAATGTAACCGATTTGGAACTATATAACCTAATTCTGGACCAATTGGATACGATAATCGAGAGGACTTCAATAATGTAGTCTGTAAGTACTTACACAGCTTAAGTTCAACAATCATGGACCGATACTGTCTTTATTTGGTTTCTTCTATCTCTTTTCCAAACTACTGTGAAACTACACATCATGACGTGTTGAAGTAGGTAGTGTTTGGGCGCACACAATACATGTCTCAACCCTCTCAATCGGTGACGATTCGTAACCTCATCAACTGGTTCGATATCTTCATTTAGTACTTGCGTTTAGACTCTAAATAGTTTACTTAATAGTCCCAATATATACGAGCAATACTTCGAAGGAATCTATAAACAAATACTAGTAACTCAATTTTAATTGGATGAAAGCTGCAAAGCCCAACAATAACAAATTGAATTATAAGATTAGGAATTAATATGAATACAACAGGACAGTAAATTTTTCGAGCGATATGCAGGAACATTTTACTTATGATTCTTAAGGATTAAAGATCTGCCATTGTCTTTGGAACAGTAGGTGAAATAAATCAATCCCCTAGCTAATTAATATTAAAATCCATTACTATTGTAAAAGATGTAGACGAGCATATTTTCGTGGAATGGAGGAATATGTAGATATACAGTAAAATAAAAAGGGTTTGCTCGACATGTGAATAGTGAATCTCGGATAATACGTTACCAATGCGAGTTTTAGAAGATCAAGAATAAAAATGAATGTATCAGATCAGAGATAAGTAGAAGCAGAGGTGAGATTATTGATAAGGAGTAAATCAAATAATTTCGATAAATATTACAATATAGATTTCACAGTATGATACACAGGATTTCATGAAATCAAATATATATAGCGGATTATTTGATGTATCGTTACACATACAGTGACCATTCGTCCAAGATTCTAGTTTGCACTAACAAAAAGCATAAGAGTAAGGAAAAAGTCTAAACTAACTCATTTGTGCAGTTATTCAATACCACACATTTCGTATATGAAACGAGAGCAATCTTTTAGATACATATTCATTACTAATTATGAAGTACCAGTTCAAATGATGTATACCATCATCAACCAATTATGTTGTTCTCAAGGAACGACTAGTGGAGCAATGATAAAAGTGACAATATCTGTTATGTCCGGTCAGCGAAAGTAACATATGATAAAAGAAAAGCATCTCTATCTAAACTAACTTATGATTCATTGTTAAATATGAAAGAGTGATTTCACTGTTGGATTTCACGCCGTATGACTGATTATACTTGAAATGAACAAGTTATTCTGTCTGTGTAATCTAATAATCGGTCAAAGATTATGTTGGTAAGTAGCAAATGATCTAGTATAATGTCTCATTTAGTATCGTAATCTAGAGTTCCTAGTCTACTATTATTTTGTTTAACGCATAATGTAGAATATTTTTGTTTTAGCATGTATTTCGTATTAAGGACAGATTTTTTCAACGCCATAGTTATGTTAAATTTGTAAATTAGAACATTGTGAACAGTGATAAGAGATGAAATTAAATCAAACAAAGCACTTTCACCATAACTTTTTCATCATTTACTTCTATCAACAACGATAGGAAACGTGAATCAATAGTTACATGTTATTTG